AGTAAAAATATCCACTAACGCATATTGTCCCGTGGGTGTCGTAAGAGGCGAACGGGGGAAACAAACCAGGAGACGGGCGGCAGCAGCGTCTTCGTGATAACACAATATAATAAAAACTGTGGTTGTCAACCGACTTGGTCAGCGCGGCAACTATGGTCAAATCCCTCATTTAATGCCTCATATCTAATTTGTGGCAGGCCTACGTTCAGCTGTAGACTTTTAGAGACTGTAATGGATGGAAAAAATGTAAAGTATTGAAAAATAATAAGCATAGGTCTCTCATTTCTGAGAGGGTTAACCCCTCTCAAAGAGTAAGGAAGTGTCCGCCACGAAGCCCCAATGCCTGTTGCCGGACTTTACCATATCTTATGTTTTTATATATATATAATAAGGGTTAAAAAACGAGCAGACAGTCTGCCGGATGGTAAGTGGATGCTGTAATCCATAGAGATCTACATCTATCCTAGATTAAGAATCAAAATGCAGATGCGTTGTCACCCCTGAGGACTAAGATGGACTGCCTCGTTACCAGTAAAAAGGGTCTCCGGTTCTCTACACTCACCACACAGAACACAGCATTGAACTGCTATTTTACGCTGGTATTCTGTGAGAGCGTGGTCCAACCCCCGCCCAGCCGACCCATTCGTGCTACAACCATAATACAGCTGCAGCGTGGCTTTCTACCACGTAAAGATATTAAATTTGTCAAACATGCTAGTTTCCTTGCGATATTGTGCTTCACCGCCAAAGACGTAAATCTATACAAATAAATAAAATATTTTTGTCTATCTGAAATTTCACACGTCGTTTCACAGTCGCGGGGAACACATAAAAAAAAGCAACTATTCAGCACTTAAAATTGCAATTAACAATTTCATTGATGTCGGCGCGGATCGAACCCAAATTGTACGCGTTCTGCGACGAGTGCTTAACCCATGAGTTATCACGGCTAATGTAACGGCAGTACATACATATTAATAAACTATACTTGACCTGTAAAAACACATTATTTAAAAAAGTGTGGAGTACGGCTTTACATACTCGAAGATTACATAGTCGTTGGTTGTGCAAATGATCTCTCTCCGGTCGTGTCTAATGACTGTGCTTTTGGACTATGAGCGTGAAGGAATATAAAATGCACCAATGTTAACGCATACACAAGTGCACTATAATCCTGTCCTGCGCATATGGCTAGTTTCCGTTGACCGTTCATTACCGTTCCGTGTTCCGTTTCCGTCGTGGCCGTCGTTTTAAAAAAAACTCCTAACCCTGCCGCCAAATAGCTATCTGCAGTTCTGATTCCGGTCTAAATGGTATAGGGAGCCAGCATAATTACGGAGTGTGAGTGTGAGGTATTCCATCTTGGCGATCTATCAAAGAGGTGACAACGCATGTAACCTTCTTTGTATGAATTTGTCTGCAGAGATCCATGAGCTACAGTAAACATCTACCATCAGTTTTATGATTTGACTGTAAGTTTATCTGTCACTTCAGTTTTTTAAAAATGGAATATTTTATAGAGGAAAGTATTGTCCGTGCACTAAACTTATTTCCTGATACACGTAGGTACCCCTGAAGGGTAAAGAGATCCAATATTGCGAAACATTGAAGACATTCGAAAAAAAATTGCTGTTTTTAAACCCATCGGAACTTATTTCTTCAAAGTATTATTTACAATGTGCTATCATTAAAAATAGATAATAATCACTAAGGATTGAGTGGTCGAAGCTTACGGAGTAGAGCGACTCAGCCTCCTTCATTATATGTTGAATATGAGCTAAATCAAGAAGAACCTTACATTTATGCGTAAGTATATGGATGTGAAAGAAGCGGGAGGTGCGTCAGGATCGCGTGACAAATGGAAGTCCATAATCGAATAGAATAGAATAGAATAGAATAGAATGATCTTTATTCAATATGGATTATTACATAATACTTATTGAAAGTCATTATTTTATTTACCACTGGTTCGGAAAATACCTCTGTCCTGGGAAGAACCAGCAAGAAACACAGCGGGACTTTTTTTTAAACATAATTTCACTTAACAATTATTTTGTTTATACAGTTTTAAATGAATTTTCATAGCACCAGCATGGTGGCGATCACCTTTTTCCCAGGGGTTTTTTTTCATTCATGTATTCCTTGATATTATAATAACCCTTTTTGTACAGTTTTTCTTTAATAAAACTTTTAAACTTGTTTATTGACAAACTGAACATGTTCTGGGATTTTGTTGTAAAAGCGTATACATTGCCCCATAAATGAATTACTAATTCTGTGGAGTCTTGTAAGTGGCATTACAAGCTTATGTTTGTTCCTAGTGTTTAAGGTATGAACATCCTTATTCTTATTAAAGCTATTTATGTTTTTATGTACATGCATTACATTTTAAATATATTGCGATGCTAAAGTTAATATGTTTATTTCTTTAAATTTTTCTCTGAGGGACTCTTTACAATTTTGCTCTCTTTTGCAAAACAACATAGTCTCTGCCTACTTAAAAGTTTATATTTATGTAATCACTACATAAGACCCATAATATATTTTACTCATTGGTACACATGTCATTCAATCCACTCTATAATGAGGGTATCCACGACTTTTTCTGTCACCAGGGCGGCGCCACTTTCGAATGAGGTGAAATATTTGACAGATTTCATAACGGGGAAATTAATGTGTTAGGAAAATTTAATGGTTAATGTTTTTATCTGGAATATTAATTATATTTTATATTAACTAAATTAGAAACCAAACTACAGATACTCCTAAAAGTGGAAAAAATCAATAAATTAAAGAGCAAACCACTGAGGCATTGTTTTGTGCATTAATATAATGCTGTAGAAGCTGATAAACATTTATTTAAAACTCATTGGAGTTTCGTTCTATTTCAATCACGAAATTAAATCATTCGTTCATTGTAGACAACTCTGAGCGATGTTTAAAACATGTTAACAGCACAACTATATATAAGACTATTGTTCCATATTATTCTTATATACCTGCTTTACTAGGCGGTAGGGTTTCTTTTCTGCTTAACAGTCTGTCTGGATAGATTATTTGTATAGAATAAGAGTGACAAACGACAGTCCAGTTGATGGTAAGTGGATGCCCGTAGCCCGTAGACACCTACATCTATCATCGATCTAGAATATAAATGTAGATGCATTGCAACCCCTGAAGACTAAGATAGAATGCCTCGTTTCCTACAAAAAAGGCCTGCGGTCTACACTCATCAAACGAAACACAACCGTGTGCTACTACTAGTTTAAGTTTGTTTTAATGTGGGAGCGTGCTTTTACCTCGGTCGATTCGACTCGTTCGTGCTGCTACCAAAATACATCAACAGCGTGGCTCGACCACGTTAAAAATAAAAATGAAATGCCTCTCATTTGGTATCCGATTACCTTACCGCCAATTACAGAAGCAGCCATTGCCGTCTTCCAGACTAAAGGGTAAGAGCAGCGAGGGATTTATAATGAGGCATAGTCAAAAGGAAACAATAATAATTTACTGACAAAAAGTAAGGTTTACATTATTTATCATTAAGACATTTGAACTACTGATATGAGTTATAACTTATCAATACAATTTTATGCACTAGCGACTAAACTAGGCCGAGCCTGTATCTTAGACACTAGTCTCTTCCGATGACACCGTTATTTGCAGTTATAAAAGTATACGATAAATTATTACATATTAGTACCTTAGGTTTTGTAAAGGATGTTTAAAAATATAATTAAAAATATATAGAGACTATTAAAAGTCAAGGAAACAGTATTTCAGCCACTAAAGTACCTATAACTTAAAAGTTGTAACTAACTATTTAACCACAAATAAAAACCAATATAAAAGGAAAAACCAAGGTACCATTTGCTGTAAAAACCTGGGACACCAAACAGTTAAATCCGGCGCTGGGTGAGAGAGTTATTACAGTCTGTAACACATTTCATCTTTAGTACCACGTCTCATTATACATCGTTATTTTTCAAAGAGGATGAAATATATAAATAATGATATACCGTTATTTCAGTTTTTTGAAATACGAGTAAATAAGATTAAGTTATCCCAAATTGAATGTGATTTATGGGTAACAACTACTCCTCTGTGTGCGATTCAATTCACGTTTTCGCAGACTAGACTAGACCGAGCGACCCTTACGTGTGTATGTGTGCGTAGTAAAATAGTAGGCGTTAGGTATTTATGAATGACAATCACTTAAAAGAATGCGTCACCACGCATTCTAAATATAAAAAGGACAGAATGATTGAGACATCATGTTCCATTAGCAGTGGTTAAAACAAAAACAGAACTGGCTAATAGGAGTTACCCCAGGGACGTGCTAATAGTCAAGCAAAGAAATGCAGGGGCTCCGGTGGTAGTAACCATATGGTTTAACGGTTAGAAATCCGGTATAACCTTTACGTTGCCCCCGCAATGGAAAGAATCCATGAGGATTTGATTTGAAAAAGCACATTAAAACGCAGTGAATGAAATATTCTCTTGACACTGGTTGGGATATTTTATATCTGGTAGATGCGGGATGATAACACCGCACTAATCCCCAGAGAGTAATTGTTCTGTGCACCGCACCGCTATCTTTCGAACGCCATTAAATCTTTCTAAGATTTCTCATAGTTCCCTCTTTTATAACACGAAACTGCATTATAGAAAAAAAAAATATGGCGATATCCTCAATTTCTCGTTTTTAGGAGTCCGTTATTTTAGAATATATATTTTCAATTTTCTTCTGTCAATCTGTGAATAGACAAAGTCATGTGTTGCCTCTTTCATAAACTTTTCTTCTTTTAAATTATGGCTTCTCTTGATAGATTCATAGACTCCTCAATTACTCTACATTTAGCTGTCATTAAAGAATTTTTAACACAGCGTTTAGCTGTCATAACAAAAAATCAAATCAAAATAACCGCCCTATTTCAATTAAAAGTAAAACAATTATATATCTAAAACTACAGAGGTTTTCTAAGAGAAAATGTCACCAGATGGCAAAACCAATACCAGACATAAATCTTTCTGAACTATCAAAGTACGCCGCTAAGCCTAAAGAAGAATCATCGATCTTTGAAGTCGCAGTTAATAAGATCAATAAATGTTCGTCAAGCAAGAATCTGTTGGTAGGTACTTTCAGTGGCTGGGTGACGGGAGTTGGCGTGTCCAAAGTGGGTAAAGTTGCTGCCTTCGGTTTAGGAGGCGGGGTAATTCTTCTCCACTTTGCCTGTGAATTCGGATACATCCACGTGAACTGGGAGAAGATAAGGGAAGGAGTAGCAAACAGTCAAGAGCTGATGGAAAAATTCCTTCGTTTCGTGAAGAGGAATAGTTGCTTATCGGTCGGATTTATCGGCGGATTTTTCTTTGGAGTGGCGTCGACATGATTTTTGTTATTTTTACTCTACTTTATCACAAAGTGTAATTTAATAATAAAAATGTATAGGTAATGTATCTTTTATTAAACTATTATCTAAGACTAGGAGATAGTATACTTACCTAAAATCAATTTTGACTAAGAACTGCCCTAAATAGTGAGTTTTTATAATAAGCCCGTTGTTATAATTGCAACATACATAGATTATGTGTAACGTGGTAGAGCCACGCTGCAGTTTCATTGGTTGTAGCATGAATAGGTTGGTTGGACCGGGGTACAAACACGCTCTCACAGAATACCTGCGTAAAATAGCAGCTTAATGCTGCTGTGTTTCGTATGGTGAGTGTAGACATCGGATCCCCCTTTTAATCGAAACGAGGCATTCCATCTTAGACCTCGGGGATGACAACGCATTTGTATTTTGATTCTTAATCGAGGATAAATGTCGAACTATGGGCCACAACATCAATTTACTATCAGGTAAACTGTGTACTCATTTCTTCGCACATGCTCATACTTGCTCGCCTCTGAATTGAATCGATAACTCAGAGATCAGCTATTTGTATGTTACTTAGTGGTGAAAGTATAGGACATTAGGAGATATTAAGCAAACCTTTTCGCACGAAGTATTTGGAAGTCTAGTCTTAGAAGTGCCTAGTTTAGCGTCCATTCTGGACGTCTTAATCATCAGTTCATAAAAGTCTACAGCTGGACCTGGACCTTTCCCGTTGCAGGTATGATTTACTATAATCGTTACGCTTAGCCCGCGGAATGCTGGTGAGAGCACCAGACGTATTGTACCTTTGATGCTGCTGCCTTAAAGATAGTGTAGATTCCAAGGCAACGTTCCACCTGAATTACCTCACTGCGGGCCCTTATTTCGGAGATTCGTATCACAAATAAAGAGGCTCTTAAAACCTTGCAGTGTGTAGACGTGAATATAGCTAGTGCAACAGATGGTATACCAGCTATAGTTCTAAAGGCTTGTGCACCTAAGCTGTCTCCTGTGCTGACACGCTGGTTCCGCCTCTCATTTAGGTTTGGAGTAGTGCCAAGTTCTTGGAAGCTGGCCAACGTGCAGCCTGTTCCAAAAAAGGCAGTCGTGCCGACACTGTCAATTATCGCCCAATGTCAATTACCTTCATACTGCAAGATTATGGAGCATATAAACTGAAAGCCCGCTTAATGGTATCTAGGACAGAATGACCTCCTCAGTGACTGGCAATACGGGTTTCGTCGAAATCGGTCAGCTGGGGACCTTTTAGCGTATGCTAACGTATGGTAATACCAGCGTTAAATAGGGGCTTATTTATGGCTGCTGTGTTTGCTGTGTTTCATAAATGGTGAGTGTAAAGAACCGGAGACCCTTTTTACTGCAAACGAGGCATTTCATCTTAACCCTCAAGAGTGACAACGCAACTACATTTTTATTCTATAGGATAAATGTAGATGTCTTGGGCCACAGCATCCACTCGGTGGACAACGTGCTCGTTTCTCACCCTTAAATTATAAAAAAACACTGTAGTGCCCGCAATGGCGGCAGAAAGTGGAACAGGTACAGACTCCTCAGCAGTAAAAGTGTTCTACCACCTAGTGACTGCTGTCAAATTAAAGAAAAATATTTATTTCGACATGACACAGAAAAATCTTCAAGTAAATCATTCGCATCAATCGCAGTGGAACCGGAGTATAGTCCAACGGATTAGTATCCAAAAATCGATAACCGATGGGGAAGAAAGGTTCTCGAGGGACAGCCTCGTGCCAGTAAGCGAAGTGTAAGGCGGACCCTAGACACTAGATGATGTGACAACCTGATGAAACACGCAGACCTAGGTTCAGCAGTGGACTTGTAGGCTGTAATTGCTGTGTTTAGCTGCAGTGATAGTAATAGTAGAAGGCACATTATGATCATGTTTATTGGCTTATTGGTATGCAGAGTAGTGTTGCCCAAATGCAAGAACAAGACGAGACTTAGCAAGTCTTGGCCTTGCGCCAATACACCTGCTCTTGGTCTTGGTCTTGGTATTGCGCTTCCAGTCTTGGTCTTGGTCTTGCAGTAAAAGTCTCGCAAGTCTCGCAATGACCTATTAGCCTATTACTTCCGAGCTGGCGACTCTGGGTTTACTTATGTACTCCTCCAACTCGTTAATAACTAAGCCTTGAAGACAAGATCTAGATCCATTTTTACACATTTTAAGTGTTTTAAAAGTGTCTTTTAAAAGAGGGGGCAAACGAGCATGCGTTTCACCTGATGGTAAGTGACTACCGCCGCCCATTAACAACCGCAACACCAGGGAGAGAATTGCATATGCGTTGCCGGCCTTTTAAAAAGTAGTAGGCTTTTTTCTTGAAGGTCCCTAAGTCTGCTTCGACGTAATAATGTGAAGGTAAACACATGATATTATCACCGTCACCACTAATCCTAGCACCACTACTCCCAACACCCACTACACTAGGAAAGATATCATCGTGGATAATACGACACGTGTAGCCTCCGCGGTGACTGACCGCTAAGTCAGCAAGTACTAGTTAAGTAGTGATGAGGAGGATAGTGTATGCGATTGAGGGAAGCCGGGAGGTGCTCTTCAAACTGGGTAAGACACATCATACGTGGTAGAGCCATAGAGCACGAGTGGGTCGGCTTGACCGGGGTAGGACCACGCTCTCACAGAATACCAGTGAAAAATAGCAGCTTAATACTACTGTGTTTCGTATGATGAGTGTAGAGAACCGGAGACCCTTTTTACTAGAAACGAGGCATTCCATCTTAGACCTCAGGGGTGACAACGCACCTGCACTTTGATTCGTAATCGAGGATTGATGTAGATGTCTATGGGCCACAGCATCCACTTACCATCAGGTGGACTGTGTGCTCGTTTGTCATCCTTATCCTATAACAAAAAATCTTTTTATTTTACTGCGCCGATCTTAGCTATTTGGTTTTTTGATATTTTTAAAGTATCAGAGATTAAAGTAACCGCTTTATTTGCTCTCAGTAAGATAAGTTTATATTATAAAACTGAAGTAACAAACGAACTTTCAGTCCACCTGATGCTGCTGCCAGCCCTTCCACACCTGTAGCCGACTTCAAACAATTAAGGCTACGGATGCGTTGTCAGCTATGAGGACTAAGATGGAATACCTCACAGCCTGTTATTATTTTGGCTCCCTGTACCCTTCAGACTGGATGGAACACAGTTGTCAACACTGCAGGTCGGCGGCAGACATCGGTAAGATGGTAGCACCTACCCAAGTCGGACTTATAACCAGAATAAGAGTCCCAACACCTAGATAAAAGAGAAGATGATTTTCAATAAGATAATAATGTTCAACTCTGTATTTCTGATTAGCGATTTTAAGTATTCTTGTACTATTATTTATTCTGCGGTATTAAATAAATATCTACTGTTTTCTGATGTAACTCTTGCAGCGATAAAGAGTTCACGGTATAGTGGCGGTGTAAGAATATTCATTACCCTATAACGTCCCGAGGGTGTCGTAAGAGGCGACAGAGGGAAACTAAAACAGAATGTGGGTAGCATCAACAACAGCAACTATGGTAAATTCCCCCTCCCCCATGACGCAAACTATGCAGGAGGCCTCTGTTCAGCAGTGGACTTTTATAGGTTGTAATGGATGGTTGGATGGATGAATTATGTTCGGCTTATATTTTGAATGCTCAGAAATATGTATTTCTGAGTAGCACTCTCAAGTCATTACGCTCGTTATTATTAAATTGGCGGAAGACAGACTGTTTTCTGGTGTAAAACTCTCGCAGCAATAAGAAGAGGAGAGAGGACTTTTATATAATCGTCATCATCATCATTACAGCCCTTCACAAGTCGACTGCTGAACATAGGCCTCCCCCAGAGAATGCCACAAAGCACGGTCCTGAGCCACCTGCATCCATCGACTTCCTGCATATCTTACCAGGTCGTCACTCCATCTAGTGGGACGCCTTACACTTCTTCCGCCGGTACGAAGCCGCCACTCAAGAACCTTTTTTCCCCATCGGTTGTCAGTTCTTCGAGCTATATGACAGGCCCATTGCTACTCAGCTCTCAACTTACGGATTACCGTTGGGCTATGTCGGTCACTCTGGTGCTACTGCGGATATCCTCATTTCTAAGTTTATCACGCAGAGAAACTCCGAGCATAGCCCTCTCCATAGCTCGTTGAGCGACCTTGAGCTTCCTCATACGGCCAGCAGTGAAGGTATAAAATAAAGGCTGAGCGACCTTTATTTTATATAATGGATGCCGCAAACCCACCGCTTGGGTTGCCAACTATAACGGGCGTCGTACTGTTGGGGCTCCACCGGATTACCTCTAAAAATACAGAAGATTGCGAAAAAAATTCTTTTTTCAGAATTCTTCAAATATAATATTCTATTTTAAAAGGAATATTTTTGCTGCTTTGAACATTAACAGCATCACGCTATAGTCAAACATTATTATAATAAAAGTGGTTTCGCCTACTCACATAAATTGTACAAGGACATCTGGATGTTTATTCTTGTGCAATTTATGATAAGTGATTGTATGGTCTATATATAATTGTTCCGGGTCCAGACCCGGGACCTAAAAATCATCAATTCGCTAGACCAAAGAGGCTGTCAATAAAAATAGAAAATATTACGCCTACGAGTATACGATGATGACTTTTGCAAAGCTGTTATGAATAAATTAATGTATGTATGAAAAACATACTCAGTTGGGATTCCCACAGGCAAACTATTCTCACCAGATAACACAATCTGTTACATAATCGCTCCAGCCTACAATACAACATAGATTGTTGATATTCTATTCAGATTATGGAATGAAATCAAACTATATAACTAAGGTAGGAAGTGTATTTATTTCTTCAACATTACAAATGTACCTCTGTTCTGAAATGTGGTACCTCTGACTAGAGAAAAAACATCAAAAGAAACTCTTTATGTATCTTATTTTATTATTATTTTTACGATATGTACTACAATATTAACCCATAACTTTTTGGGGATGA